CCCAGAAAAACGTAATTATCTACTACAGAATGAGTGAGAGATAATGGAAACACAGTTAAAATTTTAAAGGTTTGTTGTAATTTTATGGCGTGCCAAGCCTTTGAGATAACTTTTCTTCACTTTTATTTAAAAGTGAACTTTCAGCACTGTTTCACTTGCCAAAACAGAAATCTTGTTGACCAACAGGACTATCTGATTCACAAGTGAGTATTTTGGCAATGGTTTACGTAAAATAATCTGTGTTGACCAACAGGACTATCTGATTCACAAGTGAGTATTTTGGCAATGGTTTACGTAAAAATAATCTGAAAAATTTCTTTATGTAGTAATATAAAAGTTAATTCCAGAAAATGAAATTTAATTTATGTAAAAATCTTCATTTTATGTTGTACTATATTGGCAGATACTAATTTATTTTTATTACATAAAGCATTTGTTTTAAAACCATAACTAAATGCAATATAGAGTACATGGAAAGTGAAACAGGTCATTGGTTTAAAACAACAAGCCGCGTCTGAGTTCATGTTTGAAATCAGAAAATAAATATTTTTGTCATAAACGAAACAGACAAAATAGAAAAACACAACATATCATGTATAAACACAGGCTAGATTGACGAAAATACCCACATCAAACTAAGGTGAAATGCAGTAGTTTTTACTGCATTGCTTGCTTTGTAAGCAGTTACTGTAATTACCTCAACATCTGTTTCACTGTCTGTAAACTGGTATTGCTATAAAGTTATAAAAGACAACAGAATACATGTGAAGTTATACTGCTCAGAGTATTTTACAATTCTCCATGCTCAGCTGAACAATTAGCAACTGGGCTATGCATGTAGGAAGTGTATTACTTGATACTGCGTGATACCATACTGATACGTATGCATTCCAGACATACATTAGAGGATGTGAAGCTGTCCGATACACAGCCAGAACTTTTGTTCATTGAAGCATGCAATACTGATGCAGAGAAACGAGTGATTTGTTCTCTAAATGGAACTTAATGTTATTTTTTTTAATTGCAATGGCTATCAATGCATACCAATCTAAGAAGCAGCCTTGCAAACCACACTGTAGCACTACAGACATTAAGTCAATACATTGCTAAGAACCGACTTTATAGAAAACTTACCGCTGCCTTAAGGTAGTAAATAAAAGAAGAAAAAGAAAAAAAAAAGCAAAAAATTTACTGAGGAAAATAAGGAAGAATTGTATTGGAATTGATAAATGCTTTAAACTAAATTATTGATGGTGTTTAATTATTTCTTACAGACCATATTTCTTGTGCTTTTTATGTCATGGTATCAATATAGATGATGAAATATTACACCTTGTAAAATAAATTCAGGTTTTTCTTACTGCATAGAGCAGACAAATGAAAGTTAAATAACACTCACCTGTCCAAAGAACGCTACCCTGAAATAAGTTCCCAGCAGTCTCTTGCCTGTATGCATAACTTCTGTTACTTTACTGTATGCTCGATGAAGAGTGTCATATAAATGAGCAAGCCTCTAAAAATAAAAGAAAACAACCATGGGGCAAAAGAATAACGTAGAACTTTCCTATTTTAAAACAACAATGAATGATGTCCTTGTAGTTAATAACTAAAACCATTGTTTTATTGAACAGTAGTAATAGGTTTAGCACTTGCATCACAATGACAATATGTAAGTTTAATTTTTTATTATTTATATTTAGGGAAAAACATTTTTAATTATTTAAAATTAAAACAAAAATTTTAACACCTTGATATTTCAGTTACAATTGTAATACTCTTGTTCTGTGAAGTGCAACGTGTCATGCAGTTAGACGAGAAAAATTAGGGTTTTTTTTACTTGTTCAAATTTACTTATGATGAACTTAGTACCTCAAAAACTCTCCGTTTCTCATAAATGGGAATTATAAGTTTATATATGTCAGCAATGAGTTCATAGCGTTCTGCCTTCCAGAGTCCATCAGCACACTGCTCCAACAATTCCATCAGCACATCCTAGATTTGGATAGACATTTGACAAAGTAAAACAATTCAGTACTCATGAAAAGCACGGCAAATAATTATACCTAAGTCCCTTCCTTCAGTTTTTCATAATTCTTCATTTTCCATGCATTTAATTTCTTCTACTTCAATAAGCATAAAAAACCCTAAGATAAACATTATTACTTTGCTCCAGTTTTCATAAATTTAAAATTACCTGGCTATCTCCATTAACACAGTTATAAAAAACAATTTTACAGATACTATGGAACAGCTTATAGCTCCTGTGATGAAGCTGTCACGGCTTGAGTGTGACAGAGCCACAGTCAAGAAGCCCATTCGCATCCACATACCCTAACAGATCTCAGTCCTCTTCAAACATGTGTGAAGCTCCAAGAATCTCCACGAGAATCCAAGTCAGAGACTGAGAGGTGTCAGAAGACATGACATTTCTACTTCTTGAGAGCTTCTGGTACCACTCTTGCATTGCAGTGGTGAAGCCAGAAGCTGGAAATAACTCCTTTTATCCTTAGAAGGGATCCACTGATACTCTATTCCCCTCCTCCCTTTGGTAGAGGACTAAGACAGCATTAAAGACGTCACTAAGAAAAGCCAGCTTTAATACTGAGAGCAAAAAAAGACTGAAAAATGCTACCCTTATCCTTGTGCTGCAACAGACCCTAAAACATCTCCTTTCCCCCAGTCGTTATAGGGTTGTATAGACTTCCTGGTATCTCCACTCTCAGCAACCAGGTGGTAAAAACTGAAAGATCAGTGTCACTGCTGGACCACAAGGGCTGTCCATAAACACTGTTTTTTGACAAGAGCCTTATCTCAGACACCAGAGGGCATCCGAATGCAGCAAAGCTGTAAAATTCTGTTTGCACGCAGGAAAAAAAAAAAATAGAGAGCAAACGCTTCATGTGGGAGAGCTGTTAGGAGGGAGGAAAAGAACACAACATTTCTGGGCCACCTGTCTCAGTGCTCATCCATCCTCATAGGAAGAGTTTTTTTCCATATATCCAATCAGAGTTTCCCTTGTAACCTGTGAGAACAGCCTCTTACTCTTTTATGGCGCACCTCTTAGAAGAGTCTGATTATTCTTCCACTAACCACCTTAGGAGCTGGACTCTTTCTAGTTTGTTGATATCTCTCTTGACTTTGGGGGGGGGCAGCGCTGGGCACAAGATTACAGATGGGGCACCACAAATGCCAAGCAGAAGGGGGAAAACCCACTTCCCTCCACTTCTTGACTCTATGCTCTTTCTAATACAACCCTGCAGGCAGCTGGCCTCCGTTGCCACAATGCTACACTGCCGATTCCCATTCAACCTCTTGCCCACTAGAACTCCCAGATCTTTCTGCAGAGCTGCTGCCCAGCCAGTCCGTCCCCAGCCCCTACTGAGACGTTGGGTGATTTTTTCGCAGATGCAAGGTTTGCACTTGTCTTTGTAGAACTTTGAGAGGCTTCGGTGTTCCTTCAATTTGAGGTCCCTCTAAATGGCAGCCCTGCCCTCGGCATATCAGTTACTCCCCCTCCATTTAGTTTCATCCACAAACTTGATGATATACTGTATCCCATGACCTAGATTGCTAATGAAGATGTTAAAAAATATCAGTCTGAGTATCCCTGAAGAATACCAGCCTTCACCACCATACTTAAAGTATCTTGTATGTTTGGGTAAATACCTATTTCTGCTTTTCATAAAGTGCTTTAATATATTGAATTACACTGCACGTTGATCACTTACAAGAGCTGTAATACCATCTGAGCTGTGAAGCTCTTCCATTTACCAATCTGCAAGTTAGAATAATTTCTCTCATGGAAAGTCATAGCTAACAAGAGACCAGAAAAAAACAAATAGGAAGGTAGAGATTGACTTAGTATGGGTGGTGGAGCTGTGTTCTGGCAGAGTTTATTCTGGAAAAAACCCAACAAATCTGAATGAAATTGTTTCCAGCCTTAATCTGCATGGAATCTGGCACCTGCCACAGGCCTGTTAGCCATAGCTCAGATCTCTCACACATGGACTGCTTACAGCACAGTCTAGCATGGAAAGGATATCAGGTTCCAGGCTTTTACGTTCCTATTTCTGACACCCAGAAGATTTTTAGTTCTGCAAGGAGAATTTGACTTGTGCTGCTGAATAGGCTGTCTGGGTAAACATCTGTTTTAATGAAACGCACACAGTAACTTTGTTTAAAAAAAAAAAAACCAAACAAAATTGTTTTTCCAACTGGCTAGTTTAGGAAATGAGTCACAGTAACCCTGGCCTGAGAGAGAATTCTTTTAAAATGAGAATTAAATAGTGAATTTTAAAAATTTCAATTTTTTAAAAGAGAAAATGCCTACAGTCTTAAGACAAATTTCACTTAATTAGGAAGACTTTATATATACAAACTGGAGAATATAAAAGAAATTTTGCCCCTTTTAGAAACATGGAGGGATCCCCCTGACCCCCCATACTTATAATTACTCTTTTGGAGATTTAACTCTAAAGTAACTGGCATCCAGGGAAATCCCAAGTTTTAAAGAAAGAAATTCCACATGACTCCTGTTACCACGTATAGGAAGAATTCCCATCAGAGCATCATTTTGCTCAGTAGTAGTAAAGTACAGCTTGAAAGATCTGTTTCTGCTTTCTGCACCCAATTGATCTGTCATATGATTTTTTTTTCTTAGACTAATACAGTTTTGCTTACATAAGAACATACTGAGGAAACACTCCATATATGAATATGTTCCTATTCATGAAGCAATCAGACTACCTGTTTTGAAGTACTTCTGTAAAATACTAGTCATGTTAATTTATCCATGATTTTTAGTCTATTAAAAACCAAACAGTTCTTCCCTATTATTACTCTTCCTGGGGTGAACTATAAGTAGTTATCTGAAAAATAGTAACTTTTTTCAATATTTAATCAGTTAGGGTACTACATGGTTAAGTTTAAAAAGGGTTGCATGCAGGGAAAAATGAAGTTTGGCAAGATTTGATCCTTTTGCAAGCTCCACAGGCTTATAATTTCACTCTTGGCTTACTTCCGTTCCATGGAAATACTGAGAGATGGAAATAAATTTGCGTAAGGTTCAATGACCCAGAAAAAGCAGTATATTCTTTTTGCACAGACTGACTAATGAGAAAAAGAGTAAAGACATTCCAATTTAAAAAATACAAAAGAATTTAGCTCTGACAAATGGTTTGTCAGGTAGACACTGACAACAATTTCTAACAAAAGTTTCCATCAGCAGTAGTCACTAGAAACCCAGCTCTTGGCTCACTTAGAGCAGCTTACATTTTGCTTTGACTAACATGCTAAATTCCATGCTGGTTCAGGAGAATCAGTGATTTAAAGAATATAGTACATAAATTCAAAAAAGCAACCTGATATTGGGTGTCTTTGGAAAGAAAAAGCACTGTATTTCTCATTCCAAGTAATTCCGACTCCTGCCTTCCCAGAAAAAGGCAAGTCAACAATTTTTGTCTTAATCTGTTAGCATAGCTACAATTTGCACAGTCAAATAATTTTGTCATACACCTTCACCATATACAAACTAAAACACAAAAGAAAAATATTTTTTGTTGTACAATTATGCTTACACACCAGGGATTTTTCCAACACAGCTAATGCAAGTAGTGGTCTGTCCCTTCCTCCCCCACCTATACTGGCAAATACATAGTGTAGACATAGCCCTTCATGAGCAAGATTATTCATGATCTTTTCATATAGGCTTCTTAATAGTAAAATTTACTGTAAACCCAGCACAGATGGATCAGCAAAGACACAAGGAGTGAAACTTAAGCCAGAAAAAAACCCCATTGACGCAAGTCTGGTGTCAGTAAACCCACTTTCATTGTTATGGCACATTTGCTTAGGGAAACTGTAAACCAGTAAAAACCAGTGAACACATTTTCATGATTGCTGGTGTAGTAACAATCTAAATCAAAGTCAGTTTTAAAAATACCAGATCTTGTTAACTCTAATAAATAAGCCACATTAGTGTTCATCTTGTCAACTAGCTTAAAAACCCATTTTGCTTACTTTTATTCCCACAGTGGTGTTAAGTTGATGTGCTAGTGCTTTATTTAAAATATATGTATATAGTAAATTCTCTAAAGGTGGGACAGCTCACAGAATTTTTTAATTTCCGTTTTAGGATAAGAATAGTGGCTAAGAAAACAATTATAATATCCATCATGTTAGTCAGCCTCCGGACTGAAACACAAAACTTGGAAAAAACAAACAGCACTTCAATGTGCATCAATTCTAATACTCTTATGTTTACTTACTTCATTGAAGTGAACATCTTGCATTCCAACATCTTCCATCATTGAAGCCTCTTCATCTATATTAGGTGTGATTACTCTGAAAGCAGTACAACCTTGTCTAAACATCCCTGTCATTGAAAAATAGACAAATTTACTTTTCTCCACCAGGATAACGTTAGGCCATTTTGTGATGCTGGGTAAGGCAGAAGCCATATTTAAATACACTTACCACCAAATTAATAAATAATAAAAAAAAAAATCCAGCCTCCCACTGCATGACTAAATTACCAGACTTCACATTACTGTGTAAGTATAAATAGGTTTTAAAAAACCCACAAATGTTAGTATCTGGACTCTTACCTAAATAAGTAGTGTCTGAATCTTCCTATTTTATCTTAAACCTGTGTCTAATCTACCCCACCCTAAGTCTAAGGTAATCAAGGTAAGTTTTACAGTATTTAATTAAAACTGGCGTGAAGTCATGCTGGAACTGTGTACACTAACAGGCCCTGACATATCAGCTTCCCCAGTTTGAACAACATGAATGGACTGACATCAACCACACAAAATGATCAAAGGATGGCAAACCAGATTATTCAGCTGTAGATACAGGAAGTCAGTCTAACAAGCAAGAAAAACACCCCAGCAATCTAACTTCCTTTACTGAAATAAGTGTTTAACAAAAGTGGGTTTTAGAACGTTCTAACATGAAACCTACCTCTTTTACCCATTCTGTTTAGCTCTTTTTTATTGTATCAGATTGCTGAACTAAGAAATCAGGATTTTTGGCCAAAACCTGTATTAATTAAAGCCTCAAGAGCAATCAGTAAATACTACAGAAACACAAGGACTTGCACATATTTATTTCACAGCTCATTCCTACAAAGATTCTTTCTGCTCGGGTGAGAGTCTGACCACCAGAGGTTTTATTGAATGATTGCCTCAAATGCATGGTTCTGCTGTGCTCCTGCAAATACCACAGGTAGAAGTTCAACCCTCTATACTACTGAGAGGAAATAACTTTTATATGACAGTAGACAAAAATAGCAGATCACCCAAAGGAATCGCAAATTAATACAGATTATCGCTAGTTATCAGTTAGTTGTTATCCAAGAGGACATAGTAACTTTGACAAGCAACTTAGTTTCAGATTTGGTCTCAGAGAAGCTTCTGAAGTCATTGGGGCAGAGGGGATAGCCTATACACTACACAAGTATCTGGCAAGAGGCACAAAAGGAACAGAGGAAAGGCATCTTGTAGACCCATGACTTTGCTTCATTTTGAACTGTCATGCAAAGGCAAAGCTAAAAAGCTGTGAACATCAATCTGTCTGCCTATAAGAACAAAACACGAGCTCAACTTCATAGTCAGTCTTAACAGATTTCTGAAATTTTCTTCTAGAGATCTATTTTTCTTAATAAAAGCCATATAATCTCTTATTTTCTCAAAACCCTGACTGGGAACTCTTCTGATCCTATGGATGAAAGACAGTTTTCTACCCTTATCTCAAGGGTCATCAGAAACCCGCTTTTACAGACAGCTGCTAGCACAGAACACCGAGACAGGTGAAGCGTTCTGAGCACTATTATCACTGACTCAGCATCTGAAAATTTGTATGAATTTATTTTGACTTCTCTGGCAATGCCAGGTTTCCCTATGTGCAGTGAGAGACTACTTGCTGAACAAGAATATTCACTTGTAAGTTTGCTTTAGAAAGTGTCTGACTTCAGCTATTAGCAGCTGTGGTGTAAAATTAAAATTTTTACTTTCCTAAAAATTTTATTTTACCTTCATCTGAAATGCTGCCCCTTAGATATGCAAGTATAGGTCTTAAATATTTGTATGCTATCCCGTTAGGTCAGAATTTTTTCCTCAGTGAACACTGAAAAGCTTGCAACTTCCTCAGGGAAACCATTGCTTTTCCTAAACTATAATGAAAAAATATAAACATTCAAGTAAGATTTTGAAATCATACCTTTTCGTGTGAGATATTCTGCAACCAGTGCTGCTACATGGACATAGCACATTGCCGCCTAAAACAGAAACAGTAACAATCTTATGAAATTCAATGATGTCATGCAATGTGATTTACTTTCAGATGGAACAAACTTCCAGAAAGAGACAGAATTCATTATGTATGCCAATAAAATACTTACATCAAGACATATAAAAATCCCCACTCCCAACTCTCCTTTTTGCTAGAATTAAATATTTTAACAGCACAGTAAAATTAGATAGCTTTCTTTTTTCAAACAAAAAAATTGTGATTTGTCGATTTTAAGAACATCAGGAGTTTTTTAGTAAGCAGTCTGGAATAGAATCAAGCTAATTCTGTAAAGGCAACTGGAGAGGAATTCAAGGAGTGGCTTTAAGTGTTTTAAAATATCTTTGTTATCAGTTGCCAAGTAGAAGGTCTGCGTCTTCCATGGTTTGCATTGAGCATTCCTGGCTTAGCAGCGTGTCAGCTACAGTAGTTAAACATATACCTTACATTAGTAATCAGAAACGATTCACAGATATACTTGGGTAGGACAAAAACTTATCAACCATTCAAACTAGTCTACTAACAATTCAAAATTTATTAAAAATGCTTATTATATTACACACTAACAACTACATATAGTACATTCTGTTTAAAGAAAGATAAGCTTAAGCTTATTATGAAGCTAAAACTAGTTTGATTTTTTTCTCTTACCTCTGAAAGATCTCCATTTTTAACATGGATCCTTGCCATGCTGTCTAACCACGTCTTCCTTAGTTCAGGTGTACTAGCATAAGATTTTGCCAAACTGTACTGCAGGTCTACAAGCATTTCTGGATCATTCTCATGCTCCTTCATCTGAGCTGTAGCCATCAGTACTGTACGAATCCGTTTTGTTAAATCCTTAACATCAGAAGGGAATGTAGTGTGCTAAAACATGGAAAAGTTAGGTTAACTACTATCTTTTCCTATTCTTTGCATAATAAAAAGTTGAAACATAATTGCAAGAAGATGCTATGAAAGAGTTTTCAAGCATTCTTCTACAGTATGGAAAGAAGAATAAAAACAGACCTTTATAATCCTGTCATTATTGGCACAATTATTGATGATGGAAAGAGACTGCTGAAATCTAGTTCCTCCAATTCCAACAACATCAGCAATTAACTGGCTTACTGAAATAATGACCTTGACAGAAATAAATGACTTGTTAGTGCATATTTCATTAAATACCCTTGAGATATACCTATGAAGCAATTACAAAGGAAGTTTTGTTCTTTTTAATTGAAAGATTATTCCCTTAAGTACAATTGTATTTAGGTTTTTTTTTCAAAGTTACTTGTACAATAACATAGGCAAGAAAAAACAGGCTTGTGTAAATTTAATGTACATGCATCCTCTGCTGTAAAGACTGACTGCTAGGTGAACCAGCCAGAGGTCATAAAAGTAGTAAACTATTGTTCCCAGCTTTGTCAGAACACACAATTTTCTATGTGTTTGTTTTATCTTAGACTTTTACATGCTTGTTGCTGCATTCTTTTCTTCTTCAGACGTAACAGGGTATGCCATTTAACAATCAAAATAACATCTACAAAACAGAACATTTGCTACTGACAAATAAAAGTTATTTCCTACGAAACACAGGGCCATCCAATTGTTTCTAAGTATTTCCTTATACTGAACATACTTTTATTGCCATCTTCTTACTCTTAGAATAGTACCAGCCTTGCTTGAACCCAAAATAATTTCTTTTATGTCTTTATTGAGCGGGCTTTGCACACTGGTATGCAACTGTGCATGTACAAATACAATATTTAAAAAATGAAAAATAAAGAAATTATACTAACTTATAGATGTGTCCTAACAAAAGACTTCTTCCCTGTGTAATCAAAATTATTTCTCATTAAGAAGTACAGTAACTGTGAAGCTTCAGTACGAATTGAACTCAGTTTGGAATTACAATACTTCAAAATTTCATAGCACAGTGCAGAACACATATCAGCTCTACCTTCATAAAATGTAGAAGGAAACTGAGGAAAAAGTAGAAAAGAAAAAAGTTATTCATTAAAACTAGCTTCAGTTCTTGATAAAATAAGCATGTCAAGAAAAATACAAATATATTAATATTCCCAAACTATGGAAAAAATAGACAGTTATAGTAGTTCATGAAACAAAACGATTTTTACAGCAATTCAAAGGACAAGTATTCCATACTGTTGGGATCAGATCAGTCCTTATTCACCAATTTTAATTTGGGATTTTAGTTCTTAAATTTTTACATAGTATATTGTTAACTAAAGAACTGGATAAATACTTGAAAATTAATTATTTTTAAACTTCTTACCTTAAAAATAAGTGCCCTTAAAGCAATGAAGACATTTTTCAATGCTGTTTCAGCCTGATTCTTTTGAAGGAAGCAGAGGTATACATCAAATACTTTCTTCATCAGTGGATTATGCCCGTGATCAGTCAGTAGTTGATTCTTTAAATTGATAGTGAAAATTTAGGAGTTATGTACAATGATACATTTATACTATTCTAAGAACATAGATCATCCAAAAGGAGGAAATGTAAAAAAAAAAAAAAAATTATACAACCTGCATAGTATTACCAGGATGTTTAATAATACAAACATATCTGAATTTTAATTAGATATTTCTAACACTTCATTAATCTTGCTTATAAAGAAAGTGTTGGCTTCCGAATACACTTATAGAACACAATTGTTTTTAACAGCTGTTAATTAAATTCACTACTATTAACAGTTCTTTGAGAGGCACACTCAAAGTATTAACACACTTTGGTTACACTGGCTTTAGCAGCTCAGACAGTGGAATTTTCTCATAGCAGTACCTCCTACTACAATGCTCTCAAAACCACCCCCCCCAAACCAAACCCCCATCCACTCACCATTTTTCATTACTGTCCTAGAACTGAAACTGAAAGGGCTCTTAAGGATGAAGACATTAGTTACTTTTCAGAGTTTTACCTGCATCAATATTCCAAAGCTCATTCTGAGGCATGCAATATGCAGGGTTACTCTTGATTTCTGTATCACCAACAGCTGCCTTCCATCCAAACTTTTTTTTTTTAAATCTGATCTCCTCCAATTTCTCTAGCACGGGTACCGTCTGTGCATCTACTTTTAACAGTTCATATTGCTTCTGTTTTGTTCTGGGGACCTGCTTTCTCCCTTTGTCCACTGAGCATATGCACTAGGTTCCTATGGGACTCTAGGACGAAACGACGAGGTCTCTCCTCTTACGAAACACCAAAATAGGTTAATCAATTCAGGGACTGCTCAATCCAGTCCAGGGAGTCCAGAACTGAGAGGACCATGTTAAGTATTGCTCCCTCTGACTCCACTGGCCCTCCAACACGATTCTACTAGGTCTTGCATGTTCTGCAACTCCCCCCTGCACACTCCACTCTTCCTTGTCATTACTATATACAGGCATCCAAACGGTATGCTGCAAGGCTGCTCCATTACTATCTCAAGTAAGTTTTAAGGTAATATTAACTCAAAGAATCTAGTTTAACAAATTTTTTAAAGATTCTTGAGGCCCAGTATAGACCTGGGCTCTTGTAGCATGCCTTAAGCTCTCTCAAATATGGAAGAGATGTCTAACTGCAGATGTCTCCTTTTCTATTCATGGAGATGCAAAAGAAATTCTTCAGGCTAAAGAAATTCAGCACAGCCCTAGGCATTTCAGGTGTTCCTCAATATTAAAAAAATGAAGGATGCAGTCCTCCATTAAAAGCCATTCTGATACTGTGACTTGCAGACCAGAAGACCTCAGTGTGGTTTCAAGTTTTGTGGATGAATAGATACAAATGCTTGCAGGAGACCAAAGATCTCCAAATGCTGCGCAGTGAAGCCACAGGCAGGTCACTTTAGAGGAAGCTAGACGTAAATGGTTGGATATAAGCCAGTCAGCCTATTTGGTCATAGGAAAAAGTTTTATCTCTTGGAACAGTATACAGATTTCTGTAGATGACCTAAACCTAAACACCTAACTGCAAGTTCTAAAAGATGGTAAGGCTTAGTACTTCTAGATTTATAGCAAAATAATGAAATGTTGTCTTACAAACCCCTATCCTTATGAGGAAATTGATACAATATCCTTTCTTCAGATGTCCCAACATCAGAGGTAGGTAGTTCACTAAAACCACCTAGAGTAGTAGGAATTCACACAGGATCAGTTAAAATTCTACCAAGAAGCAGACATAACTTGAGATTTCCCTGCTGTAATAGATAACAGAGATCTGGATCCCCACTAGTGAAAGATGATGTTGAGGAAAAAAAGTTGTCTGGCCTTCTATATAATATGCTAATTATTCCCAAAAGAAGCAGATTGGTATTACTAATCTAGTGGCCTTCTATGATGGAGTGACTGCATCAGTGGACAAGGGAAGAGCTATGTCATTTATCTGGACTTCTGTAAGGCCTTTGATATGGTTCCCCATGACATTCTTGCCACTAAATTAGAAACATATGCGTTTGACAGATGGACTGTTAGAAGGATAAGGAATTGGCTGGATGGTTGTGTCCAAAGAGTTACACTCAGTGTCCAAGTGGAAACCAGTAAACAAATGGTGTCCCTCAAGGGTCCATATTGGGACCAGTCCTATTTAATATTTTCATCAATGACATAGATAGTGGGATCGAGTGCACACTCAGCAAGTTTGCAGACTACACCAAGCTGAGTGGTGCAGTTGATTTGCTAGAGGCTTCCCTGTAGCTTGCCATCCAGAGGGACCTTGACAGGCTTGAGAAGTGGGCCTGTGTGAACCTCAAAGTTCAACAAGGCCGACTGCAAGGTTCTGCACCTGGGTTGGGGCAATCTCCAGTATCAATACAGACTGGGGGATGAATAGATTGAGAGCAGCCCTGTGAAGAAGGACTTGGGGATACTGGTGGATGAAAAATTGGACATGAGCCAGCAATGTGTGCTTGCAGCCCAGAAAGCTAACTGTATCCTGGACTGCATAAGAAGAAGCGTGGCCAGCAGGTCGAGGGTGGTGATTCTCCTCCTCTACTCTGCTTTCATGAGACACCCACCTGGCGTACTGCGTCCAGCTCTGTGGCCCTCAGTACAGGACAGACACGGATATGTTAGAGCAGGTCCACAGAAAAGCTACGAAAATGGTCAGAGGGCTGGAGCACCTCTCCTATGAAGAAAGGCTGAGAGAGTTGGGGTTGTTCAGCCTGGAGAAAAGAAGGCTCTGGGGAGACCTCACTGCGGCCTTTCAATATATAAAGGGTGCTTACACGAAAGATCGAGAGAGACTTTTTACCAAGGCCTGTAGTGACGGGACAAGGTGCAACAGTTTTAAATTGACAAGAGGGTAGGCTCAGATTGGACACAAGGAGGAATTATTTTTACAATGAGGGTGGTGAGACACTGAAACAGGTTGCCCAGGGAAGTTGTGGATGGCCCATCATTGGAACTGTTTAAGGTCAGGTTGGACGGGGCTTTGAGCAACCTGATCTAGTGAAAGATGTCCCTGCCCATGGCAGGGGGGTTGGACTAGATAATCTTTCAAGGTCCCTTCCAACCCAAACCATCCTATGATTCTAAAACTTCATGTATTTTAGTGCAGTTAAGAAGCTCCTGATTCTCCTACCTGTTTTGTTTGGATCTTGTAGACTATTCTGGTATAGTCTTACCTGCTTTCTCAACATACTACATACAGATAACCTTGAAGGACTGTCATTCCAAGTGTGATGGGCAGCTGATAACTAAAAGATTAGTGTTCATTCTTCTTCAAATCTTTAAAACTAGGTATCTTCATTTTCAATTCTGTCATGAAGTCTGTGGACAGAACCGGTTCTAAACTCTACCTAATTAAATTACTAATAAAAGGAATCTTCTTATTTATAAGCTTATGTTTTCATAACTAGATTAAAGATAAGACACTAAATTTGAATCTTCAAGCAAGGATCTGGATACACTGCTCTAATTAGGGGAGAAACAAGCTAGAGCTATCATGTCTCCTTTTTATAGTTTCACCTTTAACATTAGGAAAAGCTCAGAAAAACAGGCAGGAGGCGTATGCAAATGGGCGTGCTATAAAAAGATTCCACAGGAGAGCTACAGTAACTGATACAATTAAAAAGAAGTCTTATTAGTGGACAAATTGAAATAAAAAGTTACAGAAAAGGAACACACACAAATTACTGTTGATTAATGAGTGACTTAATATAAGAAGAAGCCAAGTTCAATATAAAAGTCTGATAGTGTCCAATTATGAATTATGGTTTTGCCATACAGTAGATCTTTCACCCCACATGGCCTTTAAAAGATAGTTTTACCACTAATATTAGGTAGTCACTAAAGTTTCTAGAAATATTTTTAGGAAGTTAGGATGAGGAAGGAGCTTTTCCCACAGATTACTGCTGATCAGTAAGGAGTCTGTGTGCAATGTGTAACTGAAGCCAAAGCATTTTGCTGCGAGAGGTTATCAGATTTTACATGACACAATAATGAAATACAATGCTAGGAATGCTAAAAATATCATGCTATATTACTAGACTATAAAATATAAATATAATTTTAAAAACATTAAAACCCCCATTTTTTCTGAAAGATAATTATGGGAGACGTTAACACCAAGTCAAGAACAAACCTTGAAAGCCATTGTGAATAACGATAGAGTATCCAGAATTGTAAGGCAAACTTCCGTGGCAATATTTGCTTCAAGTAAAGACTGGTGAAGAACATCTGCATCTGAATGGCCATAGCCTACAGAAATTCCAAATGAAGTGTAAGTGCTGGATATGCTCATTTAAATGTTTCTTATTTCCAAAAGACTTGCTGAACTAGGAAAAGATTAACAAGTAAAAAGCCTGACAGAAGTTAGTATTCAATACAGAAAAATAATTCATATGCATTTAAATATTTTTCAAATATGTGCATATAATTATTCTAACATAATTTGCACAAGCTCATAAAATATATTATGCACAAATGTCAACAGAAGCATTAAACAGCAGTTAAAACAATAAATGTCTGATGTTTCATACATATGTGTATGTATACACGTGTGTATATATATAAATGTACACAGTTATGTATATACACATATATATTCTTAAAATAAGTACTGCAGTAGGATGGAGTTACAGCTGAAAACATGTCATGGTAATTTAGCTACGTTATAATGATCTCAAAGTCAACCATAAGTCAACCAATATAAAAATACAAAACACTAAGAGTTGAAGGAATACAATCATGTACTTATATGCAGCTGAAGACCCAAGTAATTAATTCTGCTCTGTAGCAGTATAATGGAATAACTCCAAATTTAATCAAAATATTTCATTGCTTCTAGCTCCATACTATATTCGAATAATTTTAAAAACATATCCTGCTTCAGCACTGGTTATAATATGTTGTTTATATTCCCTAACATTGATCTTTAAGAACCAGATTGACAATGTGCCCTGGTTGCTTTATAAAAAATTGGTCTGGATCATGTTTATATGTTAGAATTACCATCAACTTATTATCACTAAATCAATGACAAGCGTGACAAACTTGTTGAGTCCAAGAACAGAACAGAAGAAATGACATATTCTTTTATAATGACACCTGGCCACTTCTTTCTGCACCTTCTTCCTTCCCTGGCTGAACTATGCATGCATACCCATAACCACCAGTTTCTTTGGATTTCTACATTGTTTCTGTTAGGAAGTATACACCTCTCTCCTATCATCTTTTGCATTCTCTTTGCCTCCACCTCTTCCTTCTCCCATGTGTTTTCTTTGTGGTTTCAATCCAACTACGTCCCTTCACCTCTGTAATGACGGAAAGGAACAACTGGCATTTGGAAGCAAGCTTTAACATAACAGCCGTTTGCCAAATATTTTTCCTTTAGTAAAAGTGTTCTTTTCCTTAAAGAAATTCAAAGAAAAATCCTTTTTCATAGCAATCACTTTTGGGTGACCAGAAATCCTTAAGTTAGCCTGTGGTTTCAGTAATGTTGAAGATACCAAGGGACGACAACTATTTTGAGAACTGCATTGAGGATAGGGGAAATACTCTTTAAAGAAATAATTTGTTTGCTCTTCCAGATAAGAAGAAAGGTGCAAGGTTTACGATAAATATTAAGTTAAAACTGTAGTCAATGGACAAGACTCCAAACAGTTCAAATTTTGTTCTTCACATAAATAATTTAGGACAAACAAATAGGTCATTGATTGATTACTCTGCATTATTACTAGAGACAGAAGTTTTGGGCAGGATGTCAACTTAAAGGAACACTCAATTCGGTTGAGTTAAAAGACTGATTTAGCAGTGCTTTTTCTATATACATGCTAAAAACTATCCTTGTTTTAATTTGTATTATTTTAAAGAAGCTAATATTGTATTCTTCATGTATAACTAACACACTGGATTCTATTTTTCACATGTAACTTAAAAAGAAACTATGGAACTACAATTACCACATATAATACGGACATCTGCCTGGACACGCACATGAACACGCGCCCATACATTCACACTACTGCAGAGTAACTGGGTTTAAAACCATCTAAGAACGCTGAAAATGGGATAATCTCTAATGACTACAAGTTTGACAATGATCATATACTGCAATTACAGATTGGGGTTTATCTCTTGTGTTTCAGTATGTTTGCATGTCACTATTCTACTGAGCATCCTCTCCTCCTCCAGCCCCAACAATACACATATAAATCTACATTCTTTTAGTTTGTATTGAGATGCTTTAGAAATTTGAACAAAGGGCTTAATTTCTTTCATACTTAAGCACAAAACTATACTGAAATTACTCAGAGATGTGAAATATCACTTACACCATTACTTCAGTTCTATTCCTTGCTTAAATGATTAGAAAGGGAGAAATTAAGTTTATAATTTACATTTATAGACAACTCTTTTGCCAAAGAATCATGATTTTAGAAACAAGTAAAGCAACTATTTCCACCAGATACATCCTTCCTGTATGTATCCCACACAGGATACCTACAAGATTTATTCAAATTCTGAAAACTACTTTGGATACATGATACTGGCAGACTGGCAACTAAACAAAACTAAAAGTTAGACAATAACAAGACCAAAGATATAAAAATCAATTTCACATTTGACATGGCTTTTACAGCAACTTATTTTCACTTTGTAAAACCTTGGTCAATACAAGGTGTAATATCTTGATATTCATTAAATGTCCAACATTAAAAAAAACCAACAACACTATTATCACTTCGTGTAAAGTTATCTGAATGAGACACCTTCCTTCATAATTTCCTTCAGATGGAAAAGAACAGAAAGTTCCTTTTTACATAAGCATGCATTTATTAAAATCTTTCAGCTCACTGTTTCCTAAAAATCAGTAAACTTTGCCAAGTTCTGGAAGTATGAAATCTCTTTGCACAGGGCCCAGAAACAGCCATGTTATTTATTTCCCAGAGATTTTTTTCTGAAAATCAGTCTTAATCTACAAAGTATTTTACCTTACTGAGTGTGTAGTCATATACTGTAAAAGCTCTTTCTTTAGTTTATCAAAAAACATCTAGAAATTTTTATGATACAGCAGTAGCAGACTTATTACAAGGAAAAAAAAAAGGAATTTGCACAACTATATAGTTTTCTGACATTTTTAAAATCAAAGAATTGCGTTTATTATATTTAAACAGGCATGAAAATGCATTTATAAACAGAGAGGTTTGGTGGGATTCCCCCCCACACACACACTAGACTATGTGGAAAGTCTTGTGCAATCAGGCTAACTGTTGCTTTATATTACAGATAACGAGCTAAAAGATTTTAAGGGACAGCAAGATATGCTTAGGGAAATAAAAGGATGAACACAGTGATCATACAGTTAACTCAAATAATTACTTTACTGCACACAATTCTTTTCAGTGCCAGTGTTGTATTTTACTGGATTAGTCAACCAGTTTCATTGGGTTTTGAAGCTGAAAATTGAAAAATCGTGCTTCAGAATACTTTACATACAGTATATTTTGCAATTTAAAAGCAGCATGTTTAAAAAGATAGGCCACAAGCAGATTTAGTTTTCAATACAGCAGTCTTATACAAGCTGACTTCAACCTGATTAAATCTTACCATTGTCTACAGAAATTCCAAGAATACTTGATATCTTTCTCACACTGAAAACAGAAAAATCACTTCATTATTGGACGCTTTTTCACTTCCAGACAAACCAAATCATGGGCTTCACAATCTCCGTAGAAATTCTAAGAAACTTATTTCTCCTTGGGGATGTCAAAACATGGAGACATGGTCAGAGTGCATATTTTTACTTTTAGACTAATCATTTATAGGCCCAAGCGGGGGTGGGGTGGGGTGGAAATGAAGCTTAATAAAGCAAATAGAAAAAATAAGTAAATTTTGTAACTATGTGCAGCACGAAGTTGAAGTGCATATAATTAAAAAAAATTAAAATACAATTTTAAAATATGCTGTAGTTAATCATGCTCCATGTTATGGCATCAGCCAGCATTGATTGTTCTATCATAAAGCAGGGAACAGACCATCAACTGATTCCAGCTATTTGTTTGACCTAGAACAACAGAAGTCATTGAAATGCACTGGTGTGGCTCTGGGACCTGTCTCTGGTGTTGTGGTACCGGTTGAGGACGATGAATGTTATCATGTCATGAGACTTACTGTGGTTAAAAGTGAGAGAGTTATCCAGGCTGCTCAGCTGCTGCAATCTGGCATGCATCATTCCTGTTCTGTTACGGGAAACAGGCAATGTCTGAGATTTTCGATCATGAACTATGGATCCCAACCCCTCCTGGTTCCTGCAAGATGGGTGAAATGGGATAGAAGCAAAAGTTAGACATGTCAAACTGCAGCAAGACAGGAAGTGTTAGTTAAGCACAAGAAGTTTTACAGAAAGAATTATAATGCAACCTATTTAATGTTTTATTTATAAAACAAAAATAGGTAGCTTAAAAACAGCATCACAGCAAACTCTTTCTTAAAACCTCAAAGCATGAAAGCAACAGCACACAAGCAGTCACTCTTGAAGTGCTAAATTTACTTCAGAGCTTTTGAAAACATAAATATTTGAGAACATATATATTCTGAAAATATTCAGAACCCAAAACCAAATCCTCTATTTTGATTGTAAAAATTTTAGAAAAAAGTTAGGACACACAATGGTAAAATTAGAAAGCATACATGCAACAGGAGAGTAGGAATTAACTGAGGTATTATCATGTACATCTTACCCAAGCAGGAAGGGAGAAGAGCCATATACTTTGTTAAACTTGCAGCAATCAAGTGAAGAAAACAGAAAAGTGATCTGTGTTAGCAATCAGTACAGGCTAACTTCCTATCGTGTACCACCACCAGAGCTGATGAAAAATGAAAACCAGTGCTTGAATTACAGAATTCCCTGTTCCCTTTCATTCTCTGTCATTTGTGTATTTTAAGGGTACGTGCATTGATTGTGGTATACTTCAGTGTAATGACAATGTGGAAGACTAGAAAGCCACATTCACTGGGAAAATTCAGTATCTCTGCAGAACACCAGATGATTTCTATAGCTTAACATTTTTAGCATTAACATGCAGTACACAGACTAAGTGATCAGTAAACAATAAGGAAGTGTGGTAGTCTTCTCTACAAACTAGTCAAACAAATTAGTTTGAAGAATTTTTACAAAAAGCCTGAAAATTAGAGACTCCTGTAAATCCAGAGTTTGAAGTACATTTAAACGCAAAAGTTACAATCAAAACCTTAAGAAAGCCAGATTTATTTTGGCCTTTGATTTTTTTAGGGTATGTGAAGAGAGATGAGATTTTTTCCTGAAAAATCTCCAAGGAGGTAGTCAAGTTTGTTGTTTGTAGAAAGAGATTCGCATACAATTAAATCTAAATTAAAATAAAAAAAGCTAACAGTTTAGTTAGAATGCTTTACCACCCAAAGTCAGCAACAACTTTCTCACTGAGTTCAAGAGGGCCAGTATTTCAATCCCACAAATGTAATTATAACAGTATTACAATGTCAACCAGAGTGTAAGGCCTAAAACAGGTTGCTATATTTTACTGTATTAAAAAACTACTTCACATTAAAGACCACATTAATGGAAAGATATTCAAATAATTTAGTACGTGTTTCTGACTCCCACAGATTTTCTCCTAAACAGCCTTCAATGGGAACATACAGGTATCTAATGGCACTTTGCACTTCAAATTGAAAAACAGCAGCATTAGAATGTTCACTACTCACCTTTCAGTAAAAACACTATATATAAAATTTCTAAAACATTTCAACAGACATGGTTTTATGGCCAAGTGAATAAACAAAACAATTAAATCATAAAATTTCTTCCCCAAAGACACTATTTCAAGGAAAAAAATGCTGTAAAAGATAGCATTTAAGGGGTGGATTTTAAAGTAATTGATAATAAACACAACACACACATCATTCTTAAACAGATACCAGACTTCCAGACAGGATACAGATTTGTTAATATAGTAACCAGTTACTTACTGTTAAGTATCATTTCACAATAACTCTTCTACTCATGCAATTTATTTATAATAGAGATTCAAGGCATATTGTACACACTATTATTCTTAGTGAACAAGACAGCGAAATTGAAATTCCACACAGTACCTGGCTATGTATCGTTTTCCCATGTACTGGAACTGATGTAAGCATACTCTGCAGAGAACACATAAGTCAGAGAAGCAACACTTAAAACAATCTCTTCTAGATTTATGTACACTGGAATTATTCAATATTATTTTTGTTTAACTTGAAATTCTTATGTCATAAAACTTCTTTATTACTCCCACCCTTAAAATTCCCTTCCAGACCCCAAGCCAAGAAAAGGTAAACATGGCTCTTCTGAAATCAGTCACAGATGGTTGTCGTTCTGGCAAATTGGGATTAATAGCAAAAGGCACATAAGGCTGCCTCTAGAGCACACCTATCTCAACACTCTGAATCAAAACAGCTAGAGCAAGTCTAACAGTGACAAGGTAGAAGGGACAAATGGTGAAAAAACAAAACACCTTAGAAAACTGTAAACAGTGAGTTCAAGTGCTTCATCTTGTATAGATTTTTAGTATTTATAGAGAAGAAGTGTTTAGACTCAACTATCAAAGACAAAATTTCATTATATGAAATGAGGCCCACAGTTTCAGGTATTTACAAATGAACGGTAATCCAGGACAAGTAACATGGATGACAGAAGAAAACAGATAGCCAGGCATTACAGATACACACATATTTTGCAAAATGTGTATAAGGGTTCAAAATAAGGGCAATACATATTGCTTTTTTCCCCCGTTGGCCTAAACTCTCTTGGTTACAGGTTGGGTTTTTTTGTTTTCTTTTTTTTTCCCCCCCCTAAGGTCTCCAGATTCCACGATAACAAGAACAGGGTTTCTGACAGAACTATTTTCTAAAGAGAATCTGCTTTTACAATTAGATGACAATAAAGGCAAATCCCCCAAAATAATTTTTCATGAAAAAAAAATCTACACTTCAATACGATGTTATATTTTAAAGAATCATAATACTACTGGTTCAGATGCAGCAAGAAAGTTGAAAGTATAACCTAATCTGCCAGGTGCCTCCGCTTGTCTTCACAACTGGTAAGTACACAACACTGATGACTAATAAACTAGAAGTCACACTTTCAAATCAAGAAAAATGGTGTGAATAGAGGCTGTAATGATTTTATTTGACTCTTCCCACTGTAAGTAATTATCCTGATAATTCAGAACACTTAATGCAACTTCCCTTGTCCCTCGGGTAAGAATATTCTGAAAGTTCTTCTTTGAAGTGTAAATCCAAACGGGAAGCCAGTTTTCAGGCTCTCTCTTCCATGTGCCAGTTGTGAATGAGGGAGAAGACTGGCAAATACTCTCTTCAACTCAGCTCCATTTTGTACTCAGACCTTAAGTAGATCAGCCGTCTCCAAACTGCAGAGTCAGAATGGTGTTTGCCTCCCCCAAACTTGTCACTCTCTTTGCAAACTAACCTCAGTTCCCCTTTCTGATATCTACTTGCCTTTTTCAGATTCTAAGTTTTTCAGAAAAAGTTCTTTGCATGGCGAGTACCTACCTACCAGAAACACTGTCTTACTGAGGTAATGAGAAACTCTTGTAATGACCTGTATTAATAAAAATCATCATTAAAACGAATATTATTTGTATTGGCAAAATACTCCTGGAATTGAAAGAGGTAGACTTTTATGAGCCATGTTCCTGCTCTAGTTTAAGAAACTGTGATATCATCCACTGCACTAACGAGATGGAAATTTTATTCTGTATTCCATATACTGCTGTTGTGATGGAAATCTTTGATAATTAGTAATTTGAGATTACTGATTTGATCACAAACTAATCCTATCCAGCCCTTAAATAAGAAGCATCTAATGGCAAAATACTGTTTACCACTGATTCTGTACAGTTTACACCTCAGGCTTCAGAGAGCCTACTAAGAAGGCTCATTTACTTGTTCAGTTCTGTCTCTGGTACAAACAATATCATGCCAGATGTACTCAAATGATGAGTTAAAAGACTACCTACAATATATTCATAAAATAGATCTTCAATAGCACATTCCATAACACAATTAACGACTGATATTACATTGAATGAGCCTCTACTACAGAAACAAAGGTAAGCAGTCCAGTGAAACAAGCAAGGCAAGCAGTAAGGCTTCTGTGGCACACTTCAAGCAAACAGCACCTTCTTCACTTTTTATTAATACATCAGTCAATTCTCATGAACAAACACACCAAGTGTACATAGGGACAGAGTGTAGCCATTGATAAATACTGGATTCATCCTGTACCTTTTCCCTTACAGAATGGCAGAAGGGACAAGAGGAATGCCAGGAGGACAGTTCATATCCCTTTGTTTCTGCAGTTATGCAATTCAATCCATTTTGATTTGCAACCATATAATTTCAGCAGTTCGTGTTACAAGATGCATTTTAATGCAGACAGGTAACAAGACCATTGATTCCTCTTCCATGAGCATAGCAATATTCTGAGCACTACTCACTGCTTAGGAACTTCCTGAGATCACTTCTATATAGCCTAATTCCAGAAACTATCATGGAATTGGACAGACATGCAATTGTGCATATCAAGTTAAGGACTTCTAAACAGACTAAGATGGCATTATTTTTTCAAACAAATAAATAGAAAAGTATATATACACTTATATCCACACTCATGTTTTTAACAGTATAGCGAAACGTATGATTTTACAAGAAGCTCAACAGAAATCTTACTCTGTAATTGTGAAAAAGTCCATGAGTTCAGATTTTGTAGCCTTGTTCCAGTATGTAAACAATGCATCTAGGAAAATGAAAATTATGAAAAACAAGACAAAGGCAGCAAACACACAAAAATATTAAGTAAAAGAGTTAACATCAGTTCTTCTTTTTCAGATAATGAGGATTCAGAGAATCTAAAAATGGCTCGTGGGGTACAGATAGCTATTACTATTTAAAGTTTTCCTTGAAGCTGATTATACAAAAATGCACATATCAATTCTCCAAATTAGTTTCTACAATATGCTTTTAATTAATCCATAATATTCCCATACAATTTTATGTTTTAAATAGTAATAATTGTGTAGTCAGTAGTGACTACAGCATTCTAAAAAATATAAGACTTCAGAATACTTGTCTCTTTTACCAAAAATGTTCAAAATTAGCTAACAAATTCAAAATTATTGCAAAGATGTGTGGTAAAGTTTACTTGACACTTGTTCTCTTCCAGGACAATTGAGACCAAAAAGTCCCCACTGTGCTTATGTAAATTTTAACTTGAATTTCCTAGAAATTCTGACTAATTTTTACATATTTCAAAGTGTAAAATAGTGAAAAAGATCTTTTTTAGTTTTACTATTCTTTGTAATTGAAATACATAAAATAATATCGAAGTAATTACATGAAAATCTAATGGTGTGGCTACATATTGAATACTTATTAACGTTTCAATTCTCATTCTTGATTAAGTGGTATAATAAATTAGAGTTCAAGTACTGCATAAACTTGATTTTTAGAAATTAACATCAAAACAGGCACAGAAAATAAATTAATTACTTTTGATATGCTTAGCATAAACTGAAAAATTCAATGTTTTTACCAAAAGGGACTCACCCTCTTTTTAAAATATTGGTTCAAGGATAGGGATGATTCTGAGTTGTATGATCTTAGTAAAAAATTAAGATTTGCCATTCATGCAGTATTTCTATACCTCTGCAACCTTCTCCACAATAATATGGCTCTTTCAAAAATTCAGTGGATCATCTCACAAACATCCCAGGAGAATGAAGAAGCGCTAATATCCCCATTCCAGAAAAGGGAATATACACAGCTATCAAATCATTTGGTTCCCTGTCACACAGGAAGTTCTACAGAATGGAGGAATGGACTAGCCCGAGACTGTTCTACTTACCAATGAACTATTCTTCACCTCCATTTTCCAAACTGGACTGTACAATCACACACAAATATTCATTTTCTTACCAAGTCCTTTAGTTAGCCTCACACTTTGAAGGAATAATGAGTATTTAATGCTTACAAGGTTTCAGTCAGAGTTTAATTTGATCAATCACACGTATTTGTAAAATGCAGCACAACACTGTACCTACACCTAAAATGTTCTGCTGATTTTGAAAAGGTATTAAAGTCACAGGCATAAATCCAACACATGATTTCGAATTTATGAAAAATAGGTGGAATTACCTACCTTCTGACATACTTCTTAAAATATGAAGGAAACACATGAGCAGACTTTTGATCTCTGCTTGGTCAAGTTTGTCATATCGAACTACAGAACTTCCTAAAGTGCTGCTCTGTTGGTTCTGAAAAGAAAATAGATGTATTTTGGCTGAAGAGTTCTTAAACTGATAATAAACTAAAATGTTTTAAATTGCCTTATTAATTCCTGCAACAGAAAAAGGATCTCGGAACGGAGACAAAAATGTTTCATGTAGAGACAGGTCACTAAAACACACGTTACACACATGAAGTATACCAAATTAAGTCTCTCTACCTCTGTTTATTTTTATTTCCTTCTTTGTATGATTTTTTTTTCCCCCAGAGGGAGGAGTAAGAGGAAAAGTTACCTAACAGTGATTATTAAAGTTAATTATACATAGATACCCACATTGTAGAAATCAGGCATGCCCCTTCTGCTTACATGGAACACTTTAAAAATAAATGCTACTGTGTTAGGTGATACATATATGCTCCTTTGCTTTTGAAGAGACTTTATGCTGAACTGTAGACAGACCTGCCTCTACAAAATTCCTTCCATTTAAAGATGTAAGAACCTCAAGGAAAACATACATGAATGGCAATAATATGCATTCTGAAAGATTAACTACTGATAAGTAACTTGCCCTTGCCTCAAAAAAAAAAAACAAAAACCCCCAACCAAAAAACTTCCTCCCTGCTTCATCTGTTTATACAATTCCTACACTGTGGGAAGTTAATCAGCAATGCTCAATACTAAAGTCTGTCCAAAAAGGAAAGAAATCCATAACTGATCTTTCAGAAAGCTGGATCACCTTCTTGGCTCCGTGACCTTTTTAAGGACACATACCAGCGTTGGAAAAGAAATCCTTCATATCAAAATTAGAAAAAAATAAAAATAAAAACATAGACTCAAGGGAGAAGAGCACTTGGTTTCACAAACAAAGCGAGAAGTGCCAATACCTCAAGGGTATAACAACCCTTCCAGGAACACTCCTCACTGAAGGTAGGAGACATGCTAATCCATGAGGGAACATTTCACAGCATACACGTCAATTGACTGCCGAGTCCTTTAACGTGTTCCGTGTAAAAGGAAAGAATTGCTGTCCTAAAACAATCTGTGTAAATCTGTCACATACTAGCCATGCAATGGATATGCAGTGAAACTGACTGTGAAACTATGATTAATACTAGCCAGAAGTTACTGTAATTTAGGAGGAAATGGACACCTATATAGGCCTGATTATTGCAGATTCTAAAGACCTTGCAAACCGTTTATCTTTGAAATATCTCTGGTGAACAAGGAGGTGCTACTCTACAGCTTTATGGATACTGAAATAGAGCAGGCAATTAATGGGTGGCATAGCAGACACAGGATTTGAGTTTCCTAGACTTTTGGATACTGTCCAGAGAACTAGATAATATTCCCTAAATAGTTGATTCCTAGACTTTTGGATACTGTCCAGAGAACTAGATAATATTTCCTTTAAAATAGTTGAACATGTACATGGATAAAACTAGGGCTATAGCTACCCACAAGCTTAATTTAAAATCATGTCAATAACCTATAAAGTATGCACATATTAAAATAGAAACTGATATACTTCCAGCCAATTCTGATTCCACAAGTATAGTTCTACAGGTTATTCTGAAAGAAAATTAGAACAAAAACATGGCTCTTCAGTAATGATATCAAGCAATGAGCAAAAACTCGAAGATAACATGCACTGAACAACTGATCTACTAGAAAGAAAGTCTGGAAAGCAACAAGTAAAAGCAGGATTAAGTATTATTCGGGGAAAATATTAACAGCATGCAAAACATAAATCCTGTATTACCTAAACTTGCAGACCAGAGTAGAATTTTCAAAGGATGTTGACTCCTTTGAAAACCCTTTTACTTGGTAAAAACACTACATATTAGTAATTAACAACATGACAACTAAGTAATAGATGACAGCATTGCCATTTAGCAACAGTGTATGCACAAGATATTTCTTTATTTACTTGGTCAATGTCAAAGAAGATTTTTTAGTTCTATTTATATTAAAGACCCTAAGACTCAAATTCTGCTGATATTTAAGCTGATTGGATTTTTACGCTTAAATTAAATCATGTACATGAACTATTCCAGGTTTGTCATTTGAAGGAATTTTACATGGTTACATTGTCCATATCTGGCTTGAGATTCAACTGTTGCAAAGAAGTGGCAAAACTACTGATCACACACTTCACTCAGAAGCTTAACTATACCAAGCACAAAAACCAAATACTTCTTGTAACTGAAGAGAGAAAGCAGCATGCAAAATTTTCTCTGGCAAAGCTGGAATTGTCAGAAGTGAAAAATCCATAGTAACACGGTTTTTCTTTGCAGGGTGAGAATTTTCTTCTTCTCCTCCATTAGGGTGCATAGCATGAGCAGAGTGCCTTCTGAGAAGCTTCTCTCTCTGCCACACGAAGGCATGTCAGAGTCAAGGGGAAAAAGTTAACATGTTGTGACTTGCACAACAAGATCTAAGAAAATGAAATGTGATCAGTATCAACACAAGCTCTAGAAAGACATGACTGAATACCTCACAGCTACTGCAGCCAGAGCTCCTAATTCGTAACAGCTTTAAAGTGAAATGATTTAGGAAAGTCAAACTAATATAAAAGAAATCACCTAGAGGAAGCACAGCAACTGGTTTTTCAACATTTAAAAAGTGCTGCGTATATTGTGTACAGAACAGGATGGAGTGAAGGTCTCCACAAAATCAAAGAAGCTGTCCTAACTAGAATTCAGTTCTCTCAAGCGAAATTCAATACACTTCATCTAGTGCCTTCCTCTAGCAAAGGAAACAACAACTGCTTGCTTATGTCTCTACACTGAAAATCTGTTTGTATTTTCTGTAAAACAGCTTAATAAATGCAATGCAAAAAGAGTTCACACGATAATTATTTTGCAAAAGAGAAACTTATGTAAAATACTGCTCTACAGTTATTCTAGAAAGCCCATTCTCAATGGAGATTAGAGAAGTCAACTCCTATGAGAATTAAGATGAAATTTTGGGAATACGCTTTGGGTTTTTTAATTTGGTTTGGTTTTTTTACCTTGTCAAGGGAATTGCTCTTGTCACTGTGTCTTTCTGGTAGACTGTTTCCCGAGTCTGTACTTATAAGAGAGCCTCTTGAGTCAGCGTTCCTCACGCTATTAATATTTGGAGTTGACGTGGTGTATGGAGAAGCTAAAAAAACCCAAAACAATACAAAAGTCTCAAACAATACACATACTGAAAAAAGTCACTCCGCAGTTTAGTCAGACTTCTAAAACCACCATATATGTATATATTTTTTCAGCAGGCAAATAATTAATTCCATTTAGTTACTTTTAATGAAGACAAACTTATTCAGGAGTTTCAGCAAAGTATATATGTACATACATACACACAGACTTATGTACAACTACATACACACATGCGTAAAAAACATATGTAGCAATACATACACACTTACGTGAAGCAGCATGTATATTTAAAAAACTCCGCCATTTTTCATCTTTTTTTTTTTAATTGACTAGTAAGTGACACAACTAATTACAGCAGACAACAACAAATAGAAAAACACATTAAGACGACAGACAGGTATGCACAAGCAACACTCCACTTAGAGGTGGTCTCTAACATCATGTACAAAATCATGGATCATGGCACTCTTGCCATAAGTGACTAAGGCTAGTCTTGTCTCCTGTTTCTCTGCAGCAAGACAAGAACTATCACCTCTGATGGGGGGAAAAAGCAGCTCTCTCCAGGAAATAGCTTTAGTTTCAAATAGAAAAGCAAAACCAAAAAGATCCCAAAAGAAAGTTTTCATGTACAGACTGTGAATTCTGACCCACGCTGAACAGCTGATTGCATTAGGGTTCTGTTAATGAAAGTAGCAGTGACATTCAAGTATATATGCAGAAAGCAACCAAAGCTGGACACAGAACAATTATTTCTGGTAACAAATGAAAAAGGAAACTGGTTCCTTTTTTAATTTTTTTTTTTTTTTTTTTTAATAGCTTACCAATGCCAGAGATAACACCAAATAGATCTTTAGGAAGATTGTTATCCAATGTGTTTCCTGATTTTTGTGGTGTTACTAGCTGACTTGCAGTTGGCAAATTAATTGCATCATCCTTTGCACTCTGTTTGGAAAAAAGAGGAAAACGTGATTATTGTTTTCCAACATTATGGACTTAGTGAATATGACATACTTTATCTTCTAGAGCAGTATTTGTTATATATTTCCTTCTTAAATTTTAATTTCTATTAAATATGCTCAAAAGCATGGAATGAGATGTTCAGGTATTTGCACAAGCTTGGGATAGCCTAAAACTTAAGATACCTCAGGAAACATTGAAGAAAGGAATATTCCATTGAATTTTAAACTCTATAAAACAGGTATTTCCAAAAGACCCAAATTACTTTTATTTCAAACACCCAAACATTTCTCTTGTTGGAAGGGTATTGTGAATGTCTGTCTTAATACCAAATGGAACACAGCAAGATACGGACAAAAATAAAATACATTAATAATTAAATCTTAGAGTCAATAATTGTATGCAACTATAATATATCAATATAAACCTTCACAAATTCCATTTGAATTCATTCTCCTGTAGCCCTCTTACACTACAGCTGTTCCAAAAGCACATTCCTTTAAAATTAAAAATTCTTCTCTAATTTCTAGAAAATTAACCTTTTTTTTTTTGTGGTCCATTTATTTCAGTGTTGGACTGAATTGAAAAACAGGGTTTAAAAAAAAAATCTACCACCAATATACAATCTTTTCTGCTGAACAGCAACAGCAACTACTGAATCTGTTAGGATTTTAGCAAACATAACTAATTCTCTAAGTGTTAGATGTCGGGGGAGTATCCTCTTGCATAAAAATGAAGTATGTGCAAGTGCCTCCAATGCCAAGATCTACAAGAACAGAGGCAAACTGTTTATACAAACTGGCAGGCAGACTAAAGAGAAATGTAATTTTAATTTTTGAGTAAAAAACAGAGACAATTTAATGAAAACCCCTCTCAGAAATTGTATCAGAACTGGGTAATAGATACAAACGGAAGGCCATTAAATTGCAGAAACAACTGGTATTTTTTATTTCAAATACACTGTTCCTTCAGCTTCTTTGGCTACTCTTCTTAGAACACTCAGAAAGATGCAGCAGGTCCAATCCTGTGCAGTCTATAGTTTGTATTGAAATATAGGCACATGCACCAGAGATACAGAAAAAGCAAGATGTTACATGGTAGTATAATCACATGGCATTAGAATGATGCTGTGGCAATCTGCGTGGCCCAGCATTCTCCAAAAATCTTCAGAGGTTCACGCAGAGATCAATGAGGGCAGTGTAATCTGTATGTAGGACCAAACTAGCCAATTATGTTAGGCATAACTTAGCTGGAGAAGAGAAACTGCAGCCAAAACCACAAAGGTTAACTAAGCTTTTAAGCTCAGAAAAAGCAGGGAGAACAAACTCACAGAATTCTGAAGCTTGTGAAATTCTCTGTTTGCCAGAAGTATGCAGTGTTTCATATACATGTTACCAATAAATTACAATAAAAATAATTCAGAATACCAAATAGAAATGGTCACTCACATTGCTGGAAAGGTTAACAGGAAATGGAGACACATCTTTAACATTGATCCGCTGAACGTTTTCTATGAGCAGTCCAAAGAGCGGCAAATACATAGTGGCTATTCTTGCTTGATGGCTCTCTGTAGAGTTTAACAGTTCATTAACAAATTACAGATTTGATTTTTAATGACCAATTATTTTTTTAAGCTATTCACTCCTAAATTACAAAAACAGAGCATTTAATAAATATTTGCCAAGCCAGAGGCCACATTCATAAGTTTATAAATGGCAAAAGCAGTGATCATCACTGTATTTCATTCTAATTTACTGAAGGTCAGTAAATTTTATTTACCATTTCAGTATAACGCAGAAAAAACCCTAAATTAATGTAATTTTAGCTAAGACTAATCAAGTAAATTAATATTATGTTAGCTTGATAAATTAATGATATCTTCCATTAAAATTTTATGGCTTCTCCACAGCACAGCTGATGTTAAAAAAGGTCAGTGAAATTAAAAATCACTCAAAATTTACTACCATGACTTGCAGCTTTCTTATACTCATTTTACAAATAATAGATGATGGAAGGACATCTGCCAAATATTAAGAGCTAATGTTTAATGAAAATAAGAGCTTTAAAAACGTTCGTAAAAATCAGATTACTTTAAGAACAGCAGTTAGATGTGCCAAAATGTAATAAAGACATGTAATTATGTTAAAAGGTGCTTTGTGCTTTCATTTGGTAAAAATACGGGATCTGCAGATTGATTTTTATACAGTTTTTATACATATTTTCATCACAGTCTGAACAGAAATAGCATTTCTGCAAATTAACAAGTTTTTTGTGAAAGAAAAAATTTTCTGTACGTGTGCACACTTAATCTTTATTATTTTGTACTACTAGCATAGCAATACACTTACCCTGGAAGCATATCTATCATCAAAAGAATGCTTTATCATCAAATTCTTGAGCACACTAATAGCAATCTGCCGCACGTCTCTGAACTCTTGTAATGCATTGCCCACCTCCCTTAGAAGCAGTCCCACTAAGAAGTGATTTTTACAGAACTCATCAGTTAATGAATAGTCCAGGTGAAGGTCTGGAAGTAAAGTACAAGTTCTATGTAAAGAATGGTATTATTTCAATCAATTTATCAACTAACTCAAGGCTGAACTAAAATGTTTCCAACATTATTGACAAATTCATATATATTCGTGTATATATATAAAAAAATCAGTTATTCATATATCCCTATCCCAATTCACTGCATAATGATGCATTTATTAAACAGACAATGATGATGTATATTCAATCAACAGAAGCTGGAGAAATCTAAACACATTATTTAAAAAAAAATATTTTAAATACTGTCCAATATTCAAAAGTGTTCCTGTTAAATTTACCTGGACCAGCATCTTATAGCTCCAAATTCAAATTTTAAATCTAAATTCAGGCACTGAAAACACACACAGCGCACAAAGGTTGTGCACATTCTATATTTCAGGAATTTAGTTGTATGGTAGGAGAAGAATTTAATTTTTAGTCTGTGGTTCAGTCCCAGGTTAGTAAATTTGAAGGACTGCAAGTAAAACATGAATTAAGAAGTTTTGGATTTCTGTACTGCAGTTTTAAGTTCCTTCTTCATTATCTTACACGTGTATCTGTTATGAATATAGACTATAAACCTGCTAATAACTGTGATCTTGCTTAATTGATATTCTCTAAGAAAATGGTCCCAAAAATTTGCAGGTTGTAGTAAAAGTGTAATGAAGAGACTGCATTTGCAACACGTGTCCAAATTAAGCAATTTCTTAATATATCAGAACACAAAAGGACACGATAATATTGAAACAAGATAATTTAAATGCATCTATGGAAATTAGACCTGCATTGTAATACAGTAGGCAATTTTTCTGCTACAACTAAACAATACTATATTTTCCAGAAATATTTATATATTCAGTGTTAATTGCAATAGAATTGGAATTAAAGAACATTTTATTTGAACATTTGTGCTTAAACCACTGCAATGCAATTTTATTTCATAAAGTATTTCCAGTAGTAACCAACTGTAAATCTATATTAAGCCCCATATAGATATTATATAGACACATACACACACACAAAAACCCAGCACACCTGACACAGCAAAGTCAAACTGCTTCCCTTTAGAAGTGTTTTTTGTGTAATAAAATAATCCAGTTCATTTATGTATGTCCTGGTTTCGGCTGGGATAGAGTTAATTTTCTCCCTAGTAGCTGGTACAGTGCTGTGTTTTGGATTTAGGAGGAGAAAAAAGTTGATAACACACCAATGTTTTAGTTGTTGCTAAGTAGCTTACACTATAGTCAAGGACTTTTCAGTTTCCCATGCCCTGCCAACGAGAA